GTAGTGCAAGCAGTAGTGGAAGGGCACGCAGTAACAGTGGTGCTGTGCTCACCAGGCAGGGCAGGTCGGGCGGCTCGGCAGTAGGGCGGCCCGGCGGCTGGGCGGCTCGGCGGCTCGGCGGCTCGGCTGCTGGGCGGCTCGGCTCCCGGGCGGCTCGGCGGCAGGGCGGCTCGGCGGCAGGGCGGCTCGGCGGCTCGGCTTCCGGGCGGCTCGGCGGCAGGGCGGCTCGGCGGCAGGGCGGCTCGGCTCCCGGGCGGCTCGGCTGCTGGGCGGCTCGGCGGCAGGGCGGCTCGGCGGTCGTAGGCGGCGGGGCCGGTGAGGATAGGCGGCGGGGCCGGTACCGTAGGCGGCGGGGCCGCGAAGTGGGGCGGCGGGGCCGCGTAGGTGAGGGCGGCGGGGCCGCGAAGTAAGGGCGGCGGGGCCGCGACGTGAGGGCGGCGGGGCCGCGAAGGTGAGGGCGGCGGGGCCGCGTAGGCAAGGGCGGCGAGGCCGCGACGTGAGGGCGGCGGGGCCGCGACGTGAGGGCGGCGGGGCCGCGTAGGTGAGGGCGGCGGGGCCGCGTAGGCAAGGGCGGTGAGGCCGCGACGTGAGGGCGGCGGGGCCGCGACGTGAGGGCGGCGGGGCCGCGACTTAAGGGCGGCGGGGCCGCGTAGGTGAGGGCGGCGGGGCCGCGACGTGAGGGCGGCGGGGTCGCGACGTGAGGGCGGCGGGGCCGCGTAGGCAAGGGCGACGGGGCCGCGACGTGAGGGCGGCGGGGCCGCGACGTGAGGGCGGCGGGGCCGCGACTTAAGGGCGGCGGGGCCGCGTAGGTGAGGGCGGCGGGGCCGCGTAGGTAAGGGCGGCGCAACGGGCCGCTAGGGGCGACACGGAGGGTCGCTAAAAAAAAGGAAAGCGCGCCTCGGGGCGCGCTTCGGTGGGCCCTAGAAACAGTCCCTAGGAGGGGACCTGCTCTGATTCCATGTGGGAAGGAGAACGCGAATGAATGAACTATGAATGAAGTGAGTACATATGGGAAACCCTAATTGGGTTGTACCCCCTATGGGATACCCCACTATAGCCTACACAACAGCATAAGCTATATAATGTTCTGACAGCGCCCCGAGCGCGCGGCGGGCAGAAATTAGGGTTTCGCCGCCGCGCACCACGGGGCGCGCGGCGGACAGTACGGCAGCGGAAGCGGGTGGTGGGCCCATACACAGGAAGGCGGCAGACATGCCGCCCTCTGATACCCTATCAGAAGTAGTAGGAGTACGGCCTAGGCTTAGTAGCCTAGGCCACAGTAGGACTAGTAACGAGGAGCCAAGTACGAGCTAGGAATGTGTGTAGGAACAGAATTGAGAAGGAATGATTGAACTAGCAAGCAGCAGGATACAAATAGCAAACCCTAAGGGGCTGTACTCACTATAGAGTACCCCACTGCAGGCTACACAAACAACATATTCTGACACCTCACTGCGAACAGTCGGCTGCTTCTCCCGTGCACTCGACCAGGACGTCGGCGTCGCCCAAGCGAGGGCGGGGCCAACACTCCATTCCCGTTCCTAGACCACGCACGACAACGGCCACGGACGACAACGACAACGACAACGACAACGACAACAACAACAACAACAACAACAACAACAACAACAACAACAACAACAACAACAACAACAACAACAACAACAACAACAACAACAACAACAACAACAACAACAACAACAACAACAACAACAGCAGCAGCAGCAGCAGCAGCAGCAGCAGCAGCAGCAGCAGCAGCAGCAACGACAACAGCAACGACAACAGCAACGACAACAGCAACGACAACAGCAGCGACAACAGCAACGACAACAGCAACGACAACAACATCCACGAGAACAACATCAACGAGAACAGCAACGAGAACAGCAACGACAGCAGCAACGACAGCAGCAACGACAGCAGCAACGACAACAGCAAGGATAGCAGCAAAGACAGCAGCAAGGACAGCAGCAAGGAGAGCAGCAACGAGAGCAGCAACGACAGCATCAACGACAGCATGAACGACAGCATCAACGACAGCAGCAACGACAGCAACGACATCAGCAAGGACAGCAGCAAGGATAGCAGCAAGGATAGCAGCAACGACAGCAGCAAGGATAGCAGCAACGACAGCAGCAAGGACAGCAGCAAGGATAGCAGCAACGACAGCAGCAACGACAGCATCAATGACAGCATGAACGACAGCATCAACGATAGCAGCAACAACAGCAACGAGAACAGCAACGACAGCAGCAACGACAGCAGCAACGACAGCAGCAACGACAGCAGCAAGGACAGCAGCAAGGAGAGCAGCAACGACAGCAGCAACGACAGCATGAACGACAGCATGAACGACAGCATGAACGACAGCAGCAACGACAGCAGCAACGACAGCAGCAACGACAGCAGCAACGACAACAGCAACGACAACAGCTACGACAACAGCAACGACTACACCAACGACAACAACAATGACAACAACAACACCATGTATGATTATATTTGTGAATAAATAAATAATGCCTCAGAGTGATAAAAGTTTAGCTCTATATAATAGGAAAGAGTTAAAGACCTTTTATTATCCATGAGAAATTGTTGAGTAAATGGAAGTTAATAGTACAGTATTTGGGGTACAAATATAAATACGTATAACTACAAAATCAATGATAGCTAATATTTATACGTAGAATGTTATCCAAATTCTGGGCCGGTTTGAGTTTTATTTGATCCAATTATTGATGGATTTGTGAACATATGGGGGAAAACAGTGATAACCGCACCATGCGTTGGATTATTGTGCGTGTGGTCAGGTATTGCCTATATTTTGGACTATTTGTGCTTATTATTGCAGGGACTTGAAAAGAGATATTGGGTGCAATGATGATTCTTATCTGGTGGGTCTTTAGTTTGAACAAAATGTGTACAACAGGTTCTTGAAACTGCACATACCACATTTGTCAAGCTGGCAGCAGTTAGCGAGCCATTTCTATTTGTCGAGCTGGATTTTGTTGGGCACCTCAGTATGCCAAGATGCCATTCTGACCAATCATTGCTCAGACTTGTGACAGCGCTGCTAAGTGAATGTCTAATCTGTTGCGAACACCAATAGAAATCCCTTTGTCATTGCTGAGCCACTTAGGGGTCGAATCAGAACCTTCAAGCCACGTTGGCGATTGCCTCGCTGGTTTTGAAACCTGACGTTGGCAGGTTTCGTCACGAGGTGCATGCATCCAGCTACAGGTCCCATGCACCTGCTTGTTCGTCACCTTGAGCTCGTCGCATCAGCAGCAAGCTCTCATTCTCATCGACAACCTGTTAGAGAAGTCACATTTGTGACTCCAGCCCTCGTTCCTTCTCACGTTCGACCCCCGTTCTTTCTCACGATCGAGACTTAGCTCCTCACGTTCGCGACTTGTTATCGCGTTTGTGATTTCACCCGTTTTTTTTTTTTGTTCGCTCTCACCTCTGTTCCTGCAGTTGTCGAAGTGTTTTAGGTCGCCGAATACGAAACGACAAAGAAACCGGAGCAAGGCACTGCTAGCAACGACAAAGAGACAGCAGTGCAAGGCAATTTGTTGGACGCAGCTTCTCTAACAGCCTCATTTCTCGGCACTGGTAAGCCATGTCGTATGCCCTCGTCTTCCTCGTGAAAAGCACATCCCTTTTCCTGTTTTGGTCAGTTTATGTGCTCGATAGTTGTTAGATGCTGTCCAGTCGATAAGTTTACCGCTCTTCCGTAATATCACCTTAAGCATTCTTAGTTGTTTCAATATTGGCAGGTATTGGTCTATGCGGGCGACGCGTGAAGCCGATATGATGGTTGTCTGCAGATTCAGCTGTTAGGTGCTCTGATTAGTCGACTTTGAAGCTGAGAGGTGCGCAGCTTAGTCGATTTTGTGTTATATTTATTTGTTTTATGTTTCATCCCATGTCACAGTGCATTTCCTGCTATCGTTTCCCATGTTTTGGCAGATAGTGGATGCAGTATCTTTTTGTTTTTGTCGGACTCCTTACGGTGTCCTCTCAGGTGTTTATTTAGATTGATGCATTGGCTTGGTTCCCCTGCAGCTTGTAAGTATGTACGTATTGTTGTTTTCACCCTGCATTTTTTGTATTTTTACCTTTGTTTTCCTTGTACTTTTGGTGTTGGCACAGCTGCAAGAATCATGCGTGGCACAGCCCTGGATTAGTTATCCTTCGTGCTGGCGTTGACCTGTTAGTGCTTATTTAGTATGCCGCTGTTTATATTAGTTTCGTAGACGGGATTGGGCGTTTATCTGTGTAATTTAATGCATTTTAATAAGTAATTGCTGTTCAACGACTTTCTGGTGCTGAAATTTTGGTCGAAATAAGCAGCTCGATTTTTACGGTTTTATATTGGTTTAATTGTACTGTTTACCGAAGCTACTTAATTACGTATAAGGTTCTTCATGCGCATGTGTTATTCTAGCGAAAGATAGTGTACTATATCATTACCAATTCCTGCTTCGGTATTGTCACATATTAATCACAACAGATATTTTTATTAGCATTGCAATTATTTTGGGTGTATGTATCGATGTTCGCGACGGTGTCGCGACATCCAACAAAAAGATTCTGCGCAACCAATCAAAAACTAACCACGCCCAATGTATCCCAGCCAGGTGTCCTCGGTGTGTTCGCCGAGATTTTCAAACCATCTGTGCAGGCTCGGCAGCCTTTCATTCGCCCAACCGAAAACCAACCGCGGGCTAGATGCCACTAGGATAGAAAACCAATCGCCGAAACCAGGCAAATGCCCGAAAACCACTCGCCAGCAAGTGGTTTCCCAAAACGATTGCGGGACCCCCAAAATTCCCGATGGAAGCGCACTTGCGAGAGGGCGCGTGGTGGAGACAACGGGACGAACTTAGTTGGGTGCAACGTGCGGCAGATTCCCCACGTCCTTTTTAGGCCGTCCGACTGCCACTTGGTGGTATCTCAGCAGGCTTGTTTTCTAAATCCGCCGTTTGCTGCCGGCTATGACGGTGCATCCCGGCTCCCGTCATGGTCTCGTGGCGCTCCTTGCGGCGCTCGCATGCTGCCGCCTGCCGTGCATGTCACTCGCAGTGCCCATCGCGGACTCGCAAGGTGCGCTGGTCGCAAGGTGCGCTGGTCGCAAGGTGCGCTGGTCGCAAGGTGCGTTGGTCGCAAGGTGCGTTTGTCGCAAGGTGCGGTGGTCGCAAGGTGCGCTGGTCGCAAGGTGCGGTGGTCGTCGTCCTCATATCCCGCCTGTGCGCAACCAGACAGCTCCAATCATGAGACTTCAACCCCCTCAGCTGGCTTGCACGGTGGGATCATGGTGACGCTCGTGGCGAGAGCAAGCCAGCCAGCCAGTCAGCAAGCCAGCTGGCTGGCCGGCCAGGCGCCTGTGAAATGCGGAGTGTTTGAGGTGTTGCGTCACGATGGGCATCGTTGCTTAAGAAGATGAGAAGATGAGCCTAAGATGAGCCTAAGACGAGCCAAAGATGAGCCTAAGATGAGCCTAAGATGAGCCTAAGATGAGCCTAAGACGAGCCTAAGACGAGCCTAAGACGAGCCTAAGATGAGCCTAAGACGAGCCTAAGATGAGCCTAAGACGAGCCTAAGATGAGCCTAAGATGATCCTTTCTTCCACGCCGTGCTTGCTTCTTGGGGACAAGTCGTACGCCTCCTTCGTCCTCCTTCCCCACGCCCACCTCGGCAGGCACGGTGCTGCAAGAGTTGCAGAACTCGTGGAATACAAGATTTGGAGGCTGGCAGGCAGGGAGCGACTGCACGCAAGCGCAAGGCCTCACATGCGACTCAAACGGCATGATCACCTCCATGTGCGTCCGCTCCCTGACCCTCTGACCCTCTCTGCTGTGCTGTGCCCTTCTCTGCACTGCACTGCACTGCACTGCACTGCACCTCACCACACCATGCCGTACACATTGCTAGCTGCGATCATTACTAACCTCCCCAGCTCTCCCCTCCACCACATGTTCGCTCAAATCGAACTCAGCTTGCATGTTTCCCAGGCCCGATTCAAGCCAGGTTCATTCACTCACAGCCGCTCTGTTGCCCTCACTCACGCCCTGCGATTCCCGCTTGTAATCGCAGGGACTCGTTTCTCGCTTGCCATGCCTTGACTTCATTCCTTCAGGCCCTCTACTGCTCTTTGCAGCCATGCCCAGACGCCCATGCATGCATGAGCCTGGGCTGGCTGGCCCCCATTGCACAGAGCACAAGCACCAATCCCACCCGCACACGCGCACTATCACCACTGACTCCCACTTCTGCTCACTCAAACGGCCTCCAACCCATCCCCCTTCCCTCGACCCAACCGCCCATTCCTCCTGTGTGCAGGCGCCTCAAATTGTCTTCGGCGGTGGACTTCCAACCTGCCTCCGTCACCCAGCTATCGCACCTCACCCAGCTGTACGCCCTTGCGCCCCCCTCTCATGAGGCTTTTAGGCAGTCGAACGTAACGTGTTGAACGGAAATGCGTGCGTGCTTGTGTGTGTGCGCGTGCGTGCGTGCGTGCTTGTGTGTGTGCACGTGCGTGCGTGCGTGCTTGTGTGTGCGTGCGTGCGTGCGTGCGTGCGTGCGTGCGTGCGTGCGTGCATGTGAAGGGGCTGCCATGCTACGCAGATTCTGAGCGCTGTGCTTTCTCTTTTCATCAATACCCGGTGTAGTCCAGTCTTGTATAGTTAAGGGTAGTTTGTTCGAATGGATTTAGATTGTGCTTGCTCCTCCCTTTGCCATATTGCTCATCTGTCTCTTATCCTGAATTGCATCACCATCACCATCAGCAGAGCATCACTATCACCATCACCATCACCATTAGCGGGAACATGGATGGCTCCTGTTGGGTGCGCACATGCCCATATTGCTTCTGCGTTTGGGACACCGCAGGCCCCTCTACTCTCTGTGTGACTCCTCAGCTGCCCTCCTTCCCTCCTTCCTTCCTTCCTTCCTTCCTTCCTTCCTTCCTTCCTTCCTTCCTTCCTTCCTTCCTTCCTTCCTTCCTTCCTTCCTTCCTTCCTTCCTTCCTTCCTTCCGTCCTTCCTTCCTTCCTTCCTTCCTTCCTTCCTTCCTTCCTTCCTTCCTTCCTTGTTCCCCGCATGTGACACACACAGAGAGGCTTCAAATTCGTTTAAATTTCCAACGGGATCCCTCTACAACATTACCTGGCTCAAGTCCCTGTGAGTCCCCACCCACCTAGAGGTGCCACAGACCCACCGCCTGTGGGAATTTGAATTCTACAGGTCGAGTGTCTGCGTTGCTCCTTGCTCCCTGCTCGCTCCTAGCTTCTTGAGCGCTGTTTGCACGTTGCTGCTCTCTGATGGGATGGGATGGGATGGGATGGGATGGGATGGGATGGGATGGGATGGGATGGGATGGGATGGTCGGGGGAGGAATACCGGTTGTGTCGTTAGCGATGCTCAGGCAACTGTTGTCAACAAGGTGCATGCATCCATCCAGCATCACAGTGTATGGTGAGAGTTCTTGAGACAAGCCTGCGACACAAATGAAGGTCGATCCGCTGATGCATCGGACTGGTGCGTTTGTTTTTGCAGGGCAGTGGATTGCTTGATGGACTTGAATCTCCCCATTCCCGGAGAATTGGCCAACCTCTCCCAGCTCACAAGGCTGTAAGCACGTGCTTGTGTGTGTGTGTCTTATTGCGAATGAGAGCCACAGCCGCAATTGAGATAACAAAACACGGTTACCATGGCATGACATGGCACCACATTGCATGGCATGGCATTGCTTTATGTGCGTGCTTGTGTGCGATGGGAACTGGCCCTTGTGTGTATGTCATGTTGTTTGTCCGCCAGGAGGATATGCAAATGTGGATTGAAGGATGAGCTGCAGATGTTCACTCGCCTCCCCAGTTTGTTGGAGCTGTGAGTTTCACAACCTCTTCCCCACACCCTCTTCCCCACACCCTCTTCCCCACACCCTCTTCCCCACACCCGTTCCCGCACCTGTTCCATAAGCCAAATGCCTGAACCTTAGAGCCTTACAGCATCAGTCGCTGTAACCCGCTGCATGCACCTCCATCAGTGTGCGTGCTCCTCTTCGCTTCCTCCTTCCGGTTCTCCCCGTGACTGCTACCTCCCCCGCACTCCTCGCCCTTTTCTGCTCCCTTTCGTGCCTCCGCACGCTGGTTCTCCGCACCCCAGCATCAGCATCATCACTCACTGCAAGCTTCCGTGTGTGCCGCACTCCTCCCACCCTGTGCAGAGACGTGCCATCAAACAGCATATCGTACATACGGGATATTAACTACCGCTTTCCCAGCCACGAGAAACTGTACGCCGTCATTCACCTGTGTTGTGTGTGCCCTGGGCTTTCTTACCATTGTGTGCTTGTATAGAGCCATCTCGTCGCCATCCCCATCCCCATCCCCATCCCCATCCCCATCCCCGTCCCCGTCCCCGTCCGCGTCACCATATCGGGCACAGCATTTTCCGTTGTACACCGTCACAACTTGCATGGCCAGCATCACTGTCATCGCTCATCTGTGCAAGCGTTTCAAGAATCCTGCGCACCCCTGCGGCACCGCATGGCAGGAATCTGAGCTCCAACCTGATTGTAGCCGGCATCCTTCCTTCCCTGACTCGTCTCACTGGCCTCACATCTCTGTCAGTCCACTCCACTCCACTCCGCTGCATCATCCCTAACCGTAGGCGATTTTTTAGGCGCCTCAAAAGCCGGCCTCACATCTCTGTTAGTCCTCCCCACTCCTCTGCATCATCCCTTTCCGTAGGCGCACGCTTTTGTGCGCTCCAGCATGCATGAAGGGACTTGTCGCCTTTGTCAATGCACTCAGGCATGGCATCAATTCAAATGAATGCACATTTGCAACTGGCCATGCTTCCCACCAATGCAGATGCATCCCCATTCATTTACCTCCCCATCGCCAAACCTCCGTGGAGGTCACTCCATCACCAGGCCCCCGCATCTCAGCCTGCCTGCCTGCCAGCTTTTATCCATCAGCCTCCGCGTGTGCTGCCATTATCCCTCCCTGCATCACCGTGCCCACTGTGCCTGCGTGATGTGTGTGTGCGTGCGTGCGTGCGTGCGTGCGTGCGTGCGTGCGGGCGGGCGGGCGGGCGGGCGGGCGGGCGGGCGGGCGGGCGGGCGGGCAGGCGGGCGGGCGGGCGGGCGGGCGGGCGGGCGGGCGGGCGGGCGGGCGGGCGTGCGTGCGTGCGTGCGTCTGTGTGTGTCTGTGTGTGTCTGTGTGTGTCTGTGTGTGTCTGTGTGTGTGTGTGTGTGTGTGTGTGTGTGTGTGTGTGTGTGTGTGTGTGTGTGTGCGAGCGAGCGCGCGCGCGCATGTGTCTGTGTGTGGGCGCGGGCGTGTGTCAGGGCCGTGCCTCCAAGTTCCAACCAATCCAGGCGATTCATTTCTCTGCTTGCGTGCCTGCTTGATCCACCTTCCCCAACGCATGTTTGCTCTTGCGTGCGTGTTTGTGGGGTTGGGAGGGGAGGCGTGCGCACGCATGCATCTGCATGTGTGCGTGGGTGCGTGCATTCTTGCTGCGCATGTGTGGTGGTGTCGGCATGAATCAACAGGGATCTCTCATCAAACCAGTTGGAGGGCTACCAGGTGTTGGAAAGTTTCAGCCTGCCCACCTTGCAATTCTTGTACGTGTTTTTTTTTTTTTTTTTTTTTTAAGACAGTGTCCCCCTTGCAGTGCATGCAGGTGCAATTCATTCATTCATACTTCCTGTCAGCCTTTTCTGTGCTGCTGAAGCTCACCTGCCATTGCACCTGCCCTCTCATGCCATGCGTGTGCCATCAGGAACCTTTCCAACAACGGGCTGAGCGGCAGTCTGCCTGAATCTCTCACAACCATGTCTAACCTGGTCACCCTGTGAGTGTCCTCACAGCACTTGCATCTCCATCCATCGTTTCCTTCCCTCCGGACATGCATTTTGAATTCATACTGCATGCATTCACATGCGCGGTGCAATCATATCGTGACTTGATTTTGCTGCATCGTTTCCATCCACTAGATACATATCCAACCGCTTGTGCGATGGCAGGTGGCTATTCCTTTTTCATAGCCTCTCCACCACACATGGTGTCTCTGATGCTCATGCACGCTGGGAACCTTGTCATACTACTTGCCATAACAAGCTGCTTCAGCTTCAAACCAGTCTTTCCAGGTCTCTTCTTACTCCACACCACAACTGCTTTCTTCCCTTGTTGTGATCCGCTGCCTTGCCTTTGCATGTGTGCAGAAGCGTGGCATCCAATTATATGGAAGGAACCATCCCCCCAGCCCTTGGAAGGTTACGCAATCTCTCAACCCTGTAAGCAATAAGAGAAAATAAGTGTAGTATTCAATAGTCGAGTCGCTGACACAGAAGGGGCATGCATACAACGGGTACTTCCTCTGAAGAGGACAGCCAAGGGTGGCTATGCACAAAGCGGTAGAGTGCGGGTAGAGGAGTGCGGGTAGAGGAGTGCGGGTAGAGGAGTGCGGGTAGAGGAGAGGGAAGGAATGAGGATGAGGCTCAAAGCAACACTCTCTATGTTTGTGACCCCCTCCCTTCCTTCGTCCCCTCCTTGGCTTGACATACTCAGAGTCACCAATCCCGGTGGTCTCACATGCCCTGACAACTACACCAGCTGCGGTGTGCCTCAGAATGCGTCCTCTGGCTTCTGCCGCACCTGCCCTGACTTCTGCACCACTTGTGAGCCCAGCTCTTCTCGTGAGAGGAAGACAGGTGGAGGAGGGGCCAACCTGTTCCCCTTAAAGCATCGAGTTGCCCTTTCGATTCAATCACTTGTCAATCACTTGTCAACTACTTGTCAATCACTTGTCAATCACTTGTCAACTACTTGTCAATCACTTGTCAATCACTTGTCAATCACTCGTCAACTACGTTTCGATGAACAAGATGTTCGAGCGCTCTCTTCTGTTTGCAGGTGACAAGCGCACGTCGCTTCCCCCAGGCGTTATCGCGGCAATCGTAGCTGCGGCGGCTGCTGTCGTCACTGCAGCGCTTGCTGCACTGCTCTACTGCTGCTACTGCGTCGACAAACGTGCGTCTGGTCCCGTCCCGTCTCACACTGCCCTTGCTCCCCTGGCGTGGCTCGATGTGTCGTGAGAGCAGAGCAACACGAGGTTGCCCTCACACATTTCTGTGTCATCATACATACCGGATCTTTCGCTCAACCATTCCAGCGAGCACCCATGTGTGGCGTGCCTCCCAGCCATTCCAGCAAGCAGCACGCACTTTTTCCACTTGGATGCAGGAGCTCAAGGCGGCAACACTTTCCACCTTGGAAGGAATGGGTGTTGTTGAAAAAATCTGCTGTTTACTCTGCATTGCATTCGTTGCCTCCCCGCTCTGCGTACGTGCATGCGTGTGTCTCACATATCATATCCATCCACGCCGTCCTGGTGAAGTGAAGGTTGTATTCGAGAATTCTAAACAACAACCTGCAGCATCCATGCCGTCCTGGTGCCCACCAGTGTCTGATATGTCTCATACATCATGACACTGTGCTGTACGATGCCAATGCTCTCTGCCTGCCAGGTGTGTGAGATGGCCGTGAAGCAGCATCACATATAGCATTGTGCTTGACTGTCCCATCGTCATGCGTGCCAGGTGTGTGAGATGGTCGTGAAGCAGTCAGTGCCCTACATTGTGTTGCACTGCGCCCACCGTTTGGCCTGGCGGGTGTGTGACATGGAAACGAAGCATTGTCTTACAGTGTGTTGTACGGGGCCCCTTGTCCCCCCCGGTAGGTGTGTGAGATGGCAACGAAGCACCACCCCAACCTCGTGCGACTGCTGGGCTTCGCCATTGGGATTACTGACAAGACAAGGGTCGAGCAAGTCCTCATCTACGAGCTCATGCCCAACGGGGACCTCTCGCGCTGGATCGGGAAAGGTGTGCATTTCAACTCGTGCACATGCGCTGCTTTGGGGCGATAGGTGCTTTGGGGCGATAGGTGCTTGAAGAATTAGTGCTGGTCTCAGGTTCAGGGCTCAGCACCTATCCGGCCTTGCAGGTATGGCTCTTCATACAGGCCTCCTTTCCTGCTTCTGAAGGTCTCTTCTCTCCACCCATCTGTTCGCATCCCCCCTGCCCCACCCATATGCTCGCATCCCCCCTGCCCGTCATTCCTATGCGCTGGCCCCTGCAGAGGCAGCGACCCCGCTGAGCTTTGAGCAGCGGGTGGGCGTGCTCGTGGGGGCGGCACGCGGCTTTGAGTATCTCCACAGCTTCGGCATCGTGCACCGCGACATCAAGCTCGCCAACATCCTCCTTGACCAAACCATGCAGGCAAGTCATGCTGCATATAGATAGAAGCTTCTCTCTCCCATCCGCCAAGTGGTTTCCATGAACAGCCAAGCACACCTGCGCCATTGCATATTTGCACTGCACATGGGAATGAAGACAGAGTCTATGAATGTCTGGGTAGCATAGCATGAAATTTTATCACCGAGTCTTTGACAAAGCCTAAGGTCAATGCGTAGGACTACTGAGTCCTTGGTAAGCAACAACCCTCAGGTTTAGGGCAGAGTGTGTCGTGCTGCTCGGTCTAGCATGTGGCGCCAACTGGTTGGTGAATCCTGCTCATTGGTGTCCCCACCAAAATTACTGCTTAGCTTGGAAGCAATAGGAAGCTTACGGAACCAGTTAGCATTAAAATTGTATTTGAAAATCCGCAACTTAGTGTTCAGTATTGACCACTGAATCTTAGTGGTCAGTATCAAACCCTACCCTGGCTCCTTAATTATTGAGCGTAATTCTCAGCACTGAGTAGTAAGTTAGAACAGAATTATAACATGTCACACTGGGTTCATGTCCACCTAGAGTCTTGAAATGAGTGAGTGGTAAGGACCAAACCCGGTGTTTCGAACGTGCCCTACAGTAAGTATTAGACGACTTCTGGCACCGAGTCTCTGGTAAGCACCATACCATAGCATGCATATTATTTAGCACCAATGTCACTGACAGAAGAACCAAGATGTTCAACATTTAGAAATTAGAAAACACCAAAGATGTTTGAGTGTACAGTACGCACTTATTGTTTTGCCCTAAGACATCGGTAAGCTCCTTCATCTGCAATGCATGGAGTGACCAGAAATAACATACTTTTTTTTTTTTTTTTTTTTCAGGCCACGCATTCCTTCCCACATTGTCATCACTTCCCCTACATCCTTTTCTTGTCAGTGATTGCATGCCATGTGTGTGTGCCAGCTGGAATGTCAAATACCTGTATATTTCACTATTCATGAATCTCTGCCCCGTATCCTTTATCTTTTATGCATGAGAGCAGGCTAGGATTTCAGACTTTGGGCTTGTGAGGAAGGGAGAGGGCACAGCATTGCAGAGTACGCGAGTGGTGGGAACACCGGGTTATGTGGACCCCTCCTATGCCGCATCCAATAAGGCCACCACCGCCACTGATGTTTACAGGTGAGAAGCAACCCTCTGATGCCCCTATGTTGGTATTATCATGTTCCTGGCGTGTCCCATGCTTTCCTCGCCTCTCCTCTCCTCTCCTCACCTGTCCACGGGGTGTCGTGGTGTGCAGCTTCGGCATTCTCATGCTTGAGCTCATCACGGGCCGCCACGTCATCACCGATTCTTTCAACACTCACTCCGATGAGGAGGCGGGACAGCAGCTGCACATTGTTCCCTGGGTACGTGTGTGGGGAGATGGAGAGAGTGCCACCATAGCCGTGTGTGTGTCCGCTCTTCATGCCTTCTCGCGCATCCACCCGCAGCCCTCTGTTATCCACCAACTTGCGTGTCTCAACCCACCAACTTGCGTGTCTCAACCCACCAACTTGCGTGTCTCAACCCACCAACTTGCGTGTCTCAACCTACCAACTTGCGTGTCTCAACCCACCAACTTCCGTGTCTCAACCCGCCAACTTGCGTGTCTCAACCCGCCAACTTGCGTGTCTCAACCCGCCAACTTGCGTGTCTCAACCCTGTCAAACTATGTTTCCATGTTGTAGGCTGTAGTGGGGTAGCCTCTACTGAGTACAACACTTTAGGGTTAGACATTGCCCTACTTGTACTCATCCTTGCTTCCTAGTCAATCATTCCTGCCTCATCATTCTGACAAACCCACCAACTTGTCTGCTCTGTTTCAGGTCCAGCAGCAGCTGGCTCAATCGGGTAGCAAGGTAGTAGTGGCAAGTCTCAAGGACGCGCGCATGGAGGCGCGGGATGATTTGGTGTTGAGGGTGGTGGATCTGGCACTGCGTTGCACCGCCAAGCACAGCGCCACGCGGCCAGCCATGGGGGTGATTGCAGCCGAGCTGGAGGCCGTGCTGGTGGCGCTGGGCGGCAAACGTAGCAACTCTGCCGCCTGTCAGGTGGACCAGCAGGTGGAGGAGGGGAGGATGGCAGATTCCGACTTGGATGCAGAGATTGCGCGCTTCAATGTGTTGTTCCATGGCAAATAAACTGACAGTACTATGCAGTGTCAACTTAGGTATGCATGTTATTTTGTTAGGCTACAGTGAGGTGCTCTTTAGAAAATACAAACAACCCATTTAGGGTTTCCTATTTGTGTCCCATCTTTTGCTAGTTCGCATCATTCCGCTCCGCTTACACAACTTTGACATGATCCATCTGTTGCGATCAGAAGTTGATCGCCCTCAGGATCACCTCAGGAAGGTTCGCAGAGTTCTAATCTAGTGGTGGTGGGCCCTTGACCTCAATAGCAGAGTGAATGTAAATGCTTGAGATGAATAAAAACATGCAGTACAAGGAATATAAATATGAGTACAGGGGAATTCAAAACGACCTAGCTAGCCACGTACTCTAAGGGGTACATTCCCTTATTACAGCGAAAATCCAACCGTGCGACTCCGGGTGGTTACGGAACTGTTCGGGCAGAATCCTCGCCACTGCTGCTGCCTGATGCTGTCTGCCCGACGGTCCAGATGCTCCTTGTAACCGCCTGTCCCTTCGCATTTCTTCTGCCTTTTCGTCTTCGCTCTCGATAGTGCGTGCTTCGGCTGTGAGGAGTGCTCAATAGTGTTTTCACTAACCACTATTCGTAACACCCCCCTTCACTCCTGGCCGGAGCGAGCATGACCCGCTTGACTACCCCGCTGAGTTCGGAGCAGTGCTGGTACTGTTGACGCGGCAGTTTCTTCGTGAGGAAGTCTGCTGCCATGTCACCCGTTGGGCAGTATGTCAGGTCAACTTTGCCTTTGTCAACTTCGTCCTTGACGAAGAAGTACCGCAGTGCGATGTGCTTGGTGCGGTTGACGAAGCCAGGTTTGTTCGCGATCCTGATCGCGCTCTGGTTGTCGCAGTGCAGGCGAAAGTTCGTTGAGGCCGGAATTTTTGCTTCCTGCAGCAGTTCCTGAAGGTAGAGACCTTCGCGAACAGCTGCTGTTGCTGCGATGAATTCAGCTTCCGCCGATGACAGGGCAACCAACTCCTGCTTCTGAGAGTTCCAGGAGATGGGTCCGCTGGGCTCGAGGCGGAAGAGGAACCCTGTCCTGGACCGTCGATTGTCAGGATCAGCGGTGTGATCGGCATCCACGTAGCCGACGAGGCTGAAGGATGTGGTTGGGATGGTGGAATAACTGAGCCCGACATTGGGCGTGGAGATGAAGAATTGGAGGGCTCGCTGAAGATCTGAGAGATTCTCAACCGTTGGTTTGCGTGAGTACTGAGCCAACTGGCTCGCAATGTAGGAGAGATCGGGCCTGCAGGTGACAGATGCGAAAAGCAGGCATCCCAACTGCTGCTGGTAAGTGTGAAGCCCAGCAGGGGACAGGGCTTTGTTGTCAGGCTTGTGGTTGGGTCCTGGAGTGCGGTAAGGGGTGGAGAGTGGTGCAGGCGCAATGTTGAAGCGCTTGCTAAGCTCCTCCGCATACTTCGCTGCTGAGAGATGAATGGCTTCCGGCGAGTAGGTGATGTTGAGTCCGAGAAACTGCTTCACGTCATGATTGCAGGTAATGTCGACGCGCCCTGCGAGGCTCTTCTCGAATTGCTCGAGCAATTCGTTGCTTGACCCTGTGTAGAGGAGGTCGTCGACGTAGACCGTGAGCAGGATGTATTCGCCGCGGAAATCGCGGCGATACATCCCAGGATCGTGAGGCAGCTGCTTGAACCCGATTTCAAGCAGTATGTTGTGCAGGTACGGCTGCCAGAGCCTTGGTGCCTGTTTGATCCCATAGAGGGACTTGCGTAGCTGACAGACGCGTGGGTCTCCGTCGCCGTATGTGTGTGGCTGTTCCACGTAGATCACGGCGTCTACTAATGCGTACAGGAACGCATTCTTCACATCGATCTGCCGGAGTGGTAGGTGACGTGCGGCTGCGATGGCGAGCAGAATTCTGACGGACGTGTGACGGCTGACCGGCGCAAATGTCTGGTCGAAATCAATCCCGTGCCTTTGATCGTAGCCACGCACCACCCAGCGCGCCTTGAATCGCTCAATCGTCCCGTCAGCTCCTGTCTTCACGCGGAAGACCCATTTGCCAGAGAGAATCCTTCTGCCCTTAACTGCTGCACGGTCGACGAGCACCCAGGTGTCGCGTGACTCGAGCGCACGGATTTCCGCATCCATTGCTTCGCGCCACTCCTTGCTGTGTGGGCCTGTGAGAGCTTGTCGTGGGTTCTTAGGTTCGATGATGCGCGGAGCGGTGGAGATGGCAGCGTGAAGTCCCAGAAGCTGAAGGCCAGTGACGGTGCTGTCATGGCGATGTTGGGTGACGACTTCCTGCACGTCGTCATCATCGCTTTCTGGTTCAGGTGGTGCTGGTGGTGCTGTGCCTCCGCCGCTTACGCTTCCTCCTGCTGCGCCTCCTCCCGCTGCGCCCGTTCCTCCTTCTCCTGAATCATCGTCGTCGTCGTCACGGCGATCGCCCCTTGTGAACTCCCCTCTGGGATCCTGCTCCAGAATTGCTGCTGCTGCTTCGTCCTCAGGTGAAGCGTAGCTGTGGCCCTCATTGGCGTAGACGCGGTTTGCGTTCGTCTGCTCGTCGTCACGGAATTGTTGCAGAAACAGCCTCTCGTAGAAGATGATGTCGCGCGCATTCTTGATTTTTTGGCTCAGGAGATCCAGGATGATCCACGCCTTGTGTTCGTGACTGATGCCGAGGTGGATTCCCCAGCGCGCGCGGCTCTTAAACTTCCCGATGGTTGATGTTGGCGGTCGGTATTGAACCATGCACCCCCAGACGCGGAGCATGGAAGTGTCCCCCTTTCTTCCCGTCCATTTCACATGCGGCGAGGAGTTGCCGGTGATCGCGGTGGTTGACAGCAGGTTGTGCACCCGCACGGCGTGGTGCATTGCGTAGGTCCGGTAGATCGGCGGAAGTTTCGCCTGCCGCATTAGCGCCCGCACCTTCGTCATGAGGGTGCGATTCGTGCGCTCAGCTACGCCCTGCTGCTGGTGCGCGTAGGGGAGAGAAACGTGATGCTCGATCCCCTTTTGCGCAAGGTAATCCTGCAGCTCCTTGCTCCTGAACTCCGCCGCACCATCGGACTGCCAGATCTTCAATTTCTCCCCAGATTGCCGCTGCGCGTGCGCCAGCCACAGGCGGAATGCTTCGTAGGCTCTGCTGCGTGCTTCCACGTTTACGACCCACACGTGGCGTGTTCCGGCGTCGACGAAGGTGAGTGTGTAGAGCTCGTCGTTGATGCCGCAGTGTCCTACGTTGAGAAAGTCACTGTAAACCTTCTCAAGTTTGGCGTAGCGATTGGTTCCCGGCTCGAGTAGGGGGAAGGGCTGGTGACTCAGCGCAGCTTCGGGGCAGACAGTGCAGCTGCGCGGGTGAGTTCCTCCTCTCACTTCGGAGCCGTCAGGGCGCAGCAGCGCGCCAGGTGCAAAGACGCCGGCTTCGATGCAGTTCTTCAGAGTCACGCGCGAAGGGTGACCTAGGCGCTGATGCCAGATGGCGTCGTCGGCGCGGAATCCAGAGGTGCGCATGTAGCGCGCCAGTGCAGCTGCGGGGTCTTCGTCAGGTCCCGGTGCAGGTGTAGGCGCTGCTCCCTCGTTCTCTTCTTCTTCCTCGTTCGCCGTCGTTAGCATGAGGGCGAGAAATTCTCTGTCGCGGATGATGGAGTAGGGGATGTTGGTTCCAGGGATCGTACCAAGTACAAATGTCGGTTCGCGCGGTTCAGGGGCAGGTCCGTAGACGGTGCGTCACGGGGTGAGGGGTTCACTACCCCAGTCGATGGTGTCCCAGGGGTCACTACCTGAGGGGATGTCAGGTGGCGGCGGTCCTAATGCAAGACGGCGCGGAGGGCGTCCAAGAGGAACAACAGGAGGCTCGGCCTCAGCTTGCGTTGTTTCTTCTTCCGCTTCCGCTTCCCCCCTTTGGTCCTCGCGGAAAGCTCCCCATCCGCTTGTTTCTCCGCCAGATGCTGCGCCCCATCCGCCTGTGCCCCAGCCGCCTGTGTCGCCGCCGGTTGCGGCTCCCTAGCCGCCTGTGTCGCTTGTTCCCCATCCGCCGGCGCTCCCCCACCCCCCTTCATTGGAGGCGCTTTCCTCGTCCTGTTCCCAGGCGAGCGTTCCGCGTGCCTCGGCGAGGCTCTTCTGCCGAAGCTCTTCGGCTTCTTGTTGCGCCAGCGCCTCTTCCTCCGTAGGCGAGAGCCGTTTCTTTGAATCGCGCCAGTGAGAGTATATCTCTGCCGCCTTCTGTTCGGTGTAGGGCCGGGGATTCCCATGTGCGTCGAAGGTGCCGACGCCAACGCCGCGGAGCATTCCTTGGAGATGCTGGGATGCGGGTCCGGGAAGAGGGTGTTCCGGTGTGCCGAATACGACCCGTGTAGCTGTTTCCAACTCCAGCTGGGATAGACCCTCCTCAGGCGATGCGTCGCGCTCTGCTTCGCGAATGGCGGCGAGGCCGCGGCCGGCGATCGCGCTTGTCGAGGTCGTCGGTGTGTGGCAGTCCCTGCAGACGCCGTCAGGATCGGGGTCGTGCAGCGCCAGCTCGCGCGGGTGTGGGTGGTGTGGTACCCAGGGGCGCCCATCGGGGTGCTTCCAATCGCGGCGAAGGATGTGTTCGAAGCGTAGAGGGACGAGGTCGATTAACTCCTGCGAGTCGCCGCTGCAGTCGGGAATGTCGAAGTCGAGAACGTATACGCCGTTCTCGGCGTGCGCCCGTCCGATCTGCTTGCGCGATTTGTTCGGCATCGTGAAGTGAAGCAGGATGTCGCGCGTCTCGGGGTCGGTGCTGAGAGTGACTCCGCAATCCAGGAGTTGCGCCGCCGAGAGTAGATTAAAGCGCAGGTTCTGCACAATCAACACGTTGTTAAGTGTGATGTGCGTTCGGCTCCCTCGTGCCTTGAGCACCACGATGCCTTGCGCGCTTGCGCGCAGCCGCGTGTTGTTCGCCACTGTGACGTAAGTGACTTCGGGGGTGGCGACGGCGTTGGATATGTAACGCTCGGAGCCCACCATGTGCTGCCCACAGCAGCTGTCCAGGTACCAGTT